TACTCCAGTCAAGCAGCATCCTTACAGGGTCAACCCTGAAAAACTTGCCATACTTAGGTCAGAAATCAAGTATATGCTTGAAAATGACCTCATTGAACCAAGTTCCAGTAGTTGGAGCTCCCCATGTGTCTTGATACCTAAACAGGACAAGACTTATCGTTTTTGTACAGACTACCGTAAGGTAAATGCTGTAACAAAGACCGATTCGTTTCCTATCCCTAGGATAGACGATCTCATAGATCGTATTGGTGACGCTAAGTACATCACCAAAATAGACCTACTTTCAGGTTATTGGCAGGTTCCCCTGACTGATAGGGCAAAGGAAATCTCCGCCTTTGTCACCCCTGATGGTCTGTACCAATACAAAGTGATGCCATTTGGCATGAAGAATGCTCCTGCCACTTTCCAGAGAATGATAAATGCCCTGCTTGCTGACATGGAGAATTGCCACGCATACATAGACGATGTAGTAATTTTTAGCCAAGATTTTTCTAGCCATTGTAAACAACTGCATTGTCTTTTTACTAAACTTTTACATGCAAAAATTACTGTAAACCTGAGTAAGAGTGATTTTTGCCAGGCTTCCATCCAATACTTAGGCCATATTGTAGGACAAGGCCAGGCGAAACCTGTAATGGCCAAAGTAGAAGCTATCCAAGCTTTCCCTATCCCTGCTGATCGGAAACAACTCCGAAGATTTTTGGGAATGTCTGGATATTATAGAAAATTTTGCGAAAATTTTTCTGTCATTGCCAGTCCTTTAACAAACCTCCTGAGAAAGAACGTCCGATTTACTTGGACGGATGAATGTCAGAAAGCCTTTAACCAGATCAAGCAGATATTATCTAGCTCTCCCATTTTGATGGCTCCTGACTTCGGAAAACCTTTTAGGTTAGCTATTGACGCCAGTGACACAGGTGTTGGGTCAGTCCTTTACCAAGAAGATAATTTCCAAGTAGAGCACCCTATTTGTTTCTTTTCCAAGAAATTTAATAGACATCAAAGAAATTATTCTACTGTGGAAAAAGAATGTCTTGGGTTGATTCTTTCTATACAACACTTTGATTTTTATATCAGTGGGTCCAGATGGCCACTGGTTGTATTTACTGACCACAATCCCCTTACGTTTATCCACAAAATGTCTGGCAAAAACCAACGACTTCTCAGGTGGAGTTTATTTTTACAAGAGTACAACCTAGATCTTAAACACATAAAAGGCAGCGAAAATGTTATCGCCGATGCCTTATCTAGATTGTAAAAAGTATTTTAATGTATATTTTTTTTTTTTATATATATCATGATAAATACATTCTGTAATGTAAATATCATTTTTGTAATTATTCTAAAAAGATTTCCATTTCGTGGAAATGTAAACTTTTTATTTTTAGGAGGGAGGTGTTACGTATCTAGGCGTTGTTTTTTTTTTCTTTGACCTGTTGCGGTCAAGAGACGGGTAGGTTGTCTGCCCCTTGTGTAATAAGTTTTTTTTTTTTTCTTTTTTATTCGTCAAGCCACACAGACAGTGACCGGTCCTTGACCTGTGTGTGTACCTCTGGTTGAAAGGAGGGTGTTTTTTTTTTCTGTCTCTTTGAAGAGCGTTCTAGATCTGGGAAATTGATGACGTATTTGGTTCGAGAAATTCCTAGATTTGTCTTGAGATCGACGCGCGGTAGATTATATAAAGACCGCCCGCGTGACGTTGACGGACAGACATACGGAGACAGCCGTGGGACAGAATAGCGGAGACATTGCGCGACCCGTGCGTGGTATACCAATTGATCGTGTAAGTTAAGATTTTTCTTTTTTTCAAGGCCTTGCTTGTATTTGTAATTATATTTTCAAACTCTTGTATTGTAATATTTTTACATGCCATTTTTGTAAAAGGGTTTTGGTCAACCCTTCCATTTTGTATTCGAGTTATATTTTATTAAACATTAAGTTGATATTTTACCTTCCGATTTCTTGTGTCATTTTTTGTTTTTTTTTATTCATTGTAAGTCTTTGATTAAATTCAGACTTTAGATAAGTGACACAACTACCTTTTTCTATTGTCACGTTCCCCTAGGCAAGCCATTTAAAAGTAGAATTCAATTTGTAATACGTGACACTTAAGTGTAGTATTCTTAGATCTATGCTATTACAAATAAACAACAAGAAACTTACTTTTTCTTTTCAAATAGCAGAAAGTAGAACTTTTTACCCTTACTGAGTTATGAATAAGTTGGGTGGTTTGCAATTTCGAGGTTGTGTGTATGTGTTTAAGTTAACTTCTATTAAGCATTGTTAGCTAACTGTCTCCCCTTTTGCCGCGTTATATCCAATGTTTTCTAGCTTAACCTCTCCCATCCCTCTTTTTCGTTAACTTTCAATGGAACCATCAAAAAACGGGTGAGGGAAGGAGCAAAACAAAAATGGGAGTGCCATCAAAGGCCCATGCCGACCAGCAAAATGATCAGGCCAAACACAGTCTCGAAGACATCAAAGTAGTGTAGAAAGCCATGCCGCTCGTGCATAGCAGAAAGTACGGTCTAACGTTTTTACAAATGATAATACGTACACTATATAGTGTCATTCTTAAAATTATATTCTTGTTGAATTTCAAACAAAATTAATAGTAATAAAAAAAAAAAAAAAAACTTTGTGTCTTGATGCTGTCACTTTTTTAAAAAAGTTATCTGCATTGAATTTTTTTTTCTTTGGTCGCGACCAGACCGACCAATTTGGTACCGGCCCACCGGGCATTTACCCGTTTGCCCATATAGCCAGTCCGCCCCTGGTCCTAGACTTTGGTCCCCTTTTTGTAATAGAATTGTAATTTAAAACGTATACAGTCTTAACCTTTTGTTGATTCCAACAATGCACCTCTCTATTTCTTAACTTGTTCATGAAATATGTTAGTTAGTCTTATCAGTATACTGGTATATGAAATATGAGTTATTCTAATGGGTTGTATACCGGTATATAATATAATTGTGTAAGATAAGATAAGAGTTTCTATTATGAGTGAAAACAGATTTCATGTCTTGTATAACATTACACCAAGGGTTCTCACTAGGAGGAATCTTCTTTGTTCTATTTTTTTTTTTTTGTGTTGGAGGTTTCAGAATAGTAATCCTATATCTGAGATGAACCGCCCAGTGATTTAAGATCAGGCAGTTCTTCTACATCATCTGTCATTAATGCATTGCTTAAGGAACATAAGGCCTCGGTAAAAAAAAATACACCACTCGCCTCGATCTCTGGCTAGTTATTTTAACGGCTTCATCTAGTACACTGCTAAGCCATGTTCTTTTTGGTCTTTCTCTGGTTCTTGTGCTCCTGGGGTTCCATTCTAATACTCGCCTAGCTCTGCTGTTGGTATCTTTTCTAAAGGTGTAGTGTAGTGTGACCAGTACAATCCGTCCGTTATGGAGTGTGTGTGTTTCTTTTTTATATAGAATTATCTACTAGGTCTATGGCCTGAGAGTCCTGTACTAAGTCTCTTTGTTAGAAGAAAAGACGCTATTCGTTTTGTGGAATGTCTGTCCGTCCGTCCGTCCCGTTTAGATCTCGTAAACTAGAAAAGATAGGGAAAATCCATCATAATATTTTAGACCATTCAAAGTTCTGATGCAACGGCTACTTTTTTCTGAAAGCGAAAAATCTAATTTTTTAGATCACTTGTGCAAGCAGTTTTTTTCATAAAAATATGCCACTTTTATTCACTATTAATAGTAACAAACACGGGGGACTCCTTAGTAGGGGAGATGACAATTTACCATATTTTCAACAAATTTATGCAAACGGTTTTATATTTTTGTCAAAACTTTTTTTTTTTTTACATTTGTATTGCTAATATAAGAGAAAAAACTATATTTAGTTTGCATACAAGTTGGACAATTTAAAACAAGTAGTTTTTCTTATTATTCTGTGAACTGTAGCGTCGCTCTATGGCGATGATAGAACACTGAACTAAAGGAATTTTTTTTCTTTACGGAAAAGTTCCTATGAGGAACAAGAGATTGTCCCTTTATAAAACAATTATATATTCATTGTATGACAAAACAATTATATATTCATTATATGACAAAACAATTTTATATTCATTATATGACATTAGTTAGGCCAGATTCACATCTAACTTCACATTCACCTATCCTTTAGTCTGTGGACCGCTGGGGCACCACACAAGATTTGTCATCCTTCTTTCTCCATTCTTGTCATTGATGGAAATTCATTCTGATGTTCTTTCTGAAAATATTGAAACCTGCCTGGGTGACCACTTCGGAGTCGATTTTGAGTTTGTGTCTCCACACAAACGGTCTTTGTAGCCTTGTTTGTAGTTTACTTATCATACTTTTGTCTTTTGATCTGAGGTCTACTCTTGTGACCCAATCCAATACTAGGAGGAACAGGAAAGAAGACATTCCTGCTGTGACTGTCGATTCTATCAATGGCCTTTTCAAAGCAGTCAAATGTTGCATAAAGAAATTTCCATTTGACACATTGTTCAGAGTTTTGCTATTTGAACAGCACAAGTTTTCCCTTTCTGAATCTGGCCTGTTCTTCCCTTAGGAGTTCATCACATGCTCCCTTTATTCTGTTAAGCAGGATTCTGCTGAATATCTTGCTTGGTACCGACAACAAGCTGATGCACTATGATAGTTCTTTGGTGAAGGAGGAATCAACAACAATGTTTTACAATTAGTAAATGTCATGGTCTAACAAATATTTCCATGGACCAGTTCGAGTGAAGTACTAATGTACTAAGCACTTGACAAAATGTGCAAGGCATTGTGCAGTAGTTTCCATGTACAAAACATTTGAAGAGAAATGTTTACTGCTGTACTGGTAAATCCAATCATCAAGACATTTAGTCAAGTTGAACACACACGTGAGTGCAGATAGAACTAGAAACTAAATGTGGCATGTAATTTGTCTTATTGAGATAGCTTAGTGTCTCAATGAAAGTTGTAAAATGAAACCATAAACTTACTAATTAAACAGCAAACTGAAGAAACATGAAGTTTTTACTTTTATTTCATTTGATTTTGTAAAATGCAAACATGTAGAATCAAACAAAATGATCAATCAGCTAGGGACAAATCAAAGAAATACATTTTGTTTTTAAATTTGTCAAACCTTCAAATCAAATAATTTGTCAAGGACTTTTCTAGTAGACTTGACACTAATAATGTGTCACTCAGTCAATGCCCTTGTTAAAACATTTATTCCTTCCACTAGTCCATTGTTGGGAGGCTGTAGAATTTATTTCTGTGAATTTTAATAAAACTTAAAATTCGTACATATTTGTACAGATTCATTTAACGACCACTCTCTCAGCAAAAATGTCCAGTAGTGTAGGAAGAAATAAAATCAAGGTCAAAGTCTCTTCAAAGCAAAATTCAAAAAATCCATCCAATAGTTTAAAAGTTAAAACTCTCAGACCTGACCATGTAACCACTTCTAGTTAAACCCACTGGTCTAGTGAATGTCCCGTCACACACACAAGGTTTGGATTAGAATTCAATCATCGACACACATATACACATTCAGCCTTCCCTCATGCGATGTATCAAGGGTAAAATGTAGGAACCCAATCCAATGAAAAGCTGGCCACACCCATCTAAAAACAAAAAGTTCTGTACAAGTGTGTGAACACTACTCTTGTACTGTTCAAGCTATGTACAGTGTCTAGGATAAAGAGTCAAATAATACAAAGTACTGTACAAGTCATTTGTTGCTTTCACCAGAGAGCCACCAACTCTAGAAGAAGAAATCCTAATCTTGATGTGAATATTCAAGAATCTCATCATGAACATGTCCTAGAAGGATTCAAACTAGAGACAATCATGATGATAGTCTGACAGGCAGAACAAGTAAGTGTTGGTGTGAAAGTTCAAGTTTGTTTTAGAACTATTTCTGCACTACAGTTGGTATTTCACTAGTACAAACATGTCATAAAACCAATGTGAACATAAAGGCTTAATGTGGACAAGGGTGCAAACAAGCACTGCAAGAGTCAAACCTTTTCAAAATCATATCAAGTATTGCAATTATTGATCTATCAATGAATGTAAAGTCAGCTGATCATAAAGAAACATATTAATTGAACATCATCATAAAACTAAGAATAGACACACAAAGTTTTTTTTTTTTTTTTTTTGCAACTCAAGAATTCACGCAAATTATAATCAAACATTATATCTAGCTGACAATTAAAGGGGCATAATTAAAAACAAAAAAAAATTAATAAACTGAATAGAAAAAAAAAGCCAGAATGACAAACGAAAGCAATCCAAAAAGCAATTGAAACAATGTGGGAATGATCTCAAGCACTATGTCAAAAGTATACATTCAAATAGGATAGAACAATATGAGAAAATAATACATGGAGAAAGAAAAGGGAGAAGTGAATGAACAAATATATAAGAAAGCAGGACAGAAACAAAGAACATTACAAATAGACTTAAAGACATGTCTGGACACATTTTTACTTTGTCCATCTCATAATAATAATATGTATATAAACAAACTTGCTATTTTGGTTATAATGATGATAAAATAAAATGAGGATGGTGACACCAGCAGTAAGGAGAGGTAAACATGAAGAAAAGTGATTTGAGTTATCTTTCCCTGGCAAGTGCTAGATATGCCATTGAGCTTCTCATCTGTCTCCCATCCCTAACAGGAACATGTGCACATAGGGAAAATGTATTTCATAGATAAAAGATCATGTCAGTTCAAGAAATACATCTGGTTAAGGAAGCACTCAATGAGGTGTACTGATTAGAAAGTCCCAAGTCTCCAACTGGATCCTCAGATATATTGAATGCTGCAGTGTCAACTTTTTAAGCCAATGATTTTGTCACCAAGCAACAGTCTGCAGTCTCCATACATAAGACACTACGCTGGTCTTGGTGTCAAGGTGGATAGATGGCAAGTAGTTTTCAAACAATCTTGAACTTGCAGAATCCAAATTGAATGTTAAGTCAATGACATTTCTCTGTTGTATTCTAGCAAATAGGTCAGGACTGGTCAAAGTTTTATTTTAACATGTAGAGCAACTTGCCAAAAAAATAGTAATGTTCTAATCTATTATAAATTCATCAGTAGGCTGATTATAGTGTAATACAACTATATTTGTAGTTCATGTAATTACTGAGTAAAATAATAAATATGATATGAAAAGAGGATACTACCCTGGAAGCACAGAATGTAAAATATGTAAAATAATCTGACTTAGCATACAACTCACATTGAAAAGTAATGATCTAAAAAAAATAATTTTGGTTTTGTATTAACAAAATCCCATCCACTGTATCAATAGTTTCACATTAATCGCTCAATTCAGCATTTAGACAAGCCAAGCAAACACTAGTGAGCTTGCAGATCATCCTCACCAGTTAAACAATGTCAAAATAACATCTCTCATTTAAAATACCAATAATTGGTAATTGTACACTATTGACACATTTTTAAAAAGTACTCAAAAATGTTGCTTACATCTTTAATAAGAAGATAACCTCTTAGAAAAAAAAAATCTTTATTACAAGTGTAGCATCATGCCTACCAACCATCAGAGAAACTGCTGGAAACATAATAAAAAAGTCCTATGATCTAAAGAGGCATTAACTTAACAGTTCAACAAATTGTTAATTATAATGGCATGAAGTAAGACAACTAAAATTTCTAAGACATTTTTAAAGCGGGGGGGGGGGGGGGGGGGGGGGGGGGGGGGGGGGGGACAACTTTTAACTATAGCACTTACCATACCAGTCAATCATTGTCAATCACATTGTATTTCTGACTGATAGAAAAACAAACATTTCATTTCAAACTAAGTTACTTGTTACCTACGACAGTGCCACTAAGTGTCAACTATGAGACAGTACTACCAAGTGTCAACTATCTCATGACCCAAAGAAATGCTGAAGAAATGTCACAACATGTGTGCAGAAAGTTTTTAAGAGTTGAAATCAATGAAAGCAACATAGAACATTTGGACTTTGCTATGACTTTTGGCTTAATTCCAGAAAAAATATGATGCTTACAAAATATCCCACCAATCAAATCATCATTTTCATTTTTTAAAACTTGGAATGAGTGCTAAAGATGCAAAATGTTGTATCCAAAACTGCAACCCATGCTCTGTAAAGTAGACAGCAGAAGCTTCAACTGCATACTGTATCAAAAAGCACTGTCTAGAAGATAAAAAGGCCTTACACTACCCTTCTTAAAGATTGACTGAACCACTGCAAACTTGTTCCTAGACAAACACAATTTTTGACCTGCTCAATATTGAGAATAGAAACAAAACGACCAAAGAGAACATTGCCATTTAAACCTACTAAAACCTAAGCACACAGTTAAATGAGAAACAGAATGGATTTTATCACTTTAATAAAAATAATTATTCAGATTTGGAAAATCCATTTTCAATGAAGAGAAAAAAAACAATAACTGCCAAGTAATGAATAAGTCGAACTAGTCCAACAATTAAATTCTAACAAGGCATGTGTTCAGCTTACTGAAACGATCTTATATATTTCTTTTCATATATATGACACTTGAGATTTGACTAAACATTCTATCAATGTCATTCAAGTGCTGATTTTATTCCGATTGTGTTTCAGAAACCAAACTAGGCAAAGTCCAGAGGATCAGATGCGTGCAAGAATACTGACTTTAAACAGGAGAAAGTGTTGGCGAATGTTCACATCTAAATGAGCAGAGTTTAAAGAATGGAAAAAAAAAAGTTTTTTAAAAATCGTTGTAGACCAGTATAGCAGCAGTTTAAGAATAAAGCCATTATATGTTAAGCTTCAATAATTGTTGAGTTTTATTAGATATACACAAAAGAAATATAACAAGCTAAGAAAACAAAAAAAAACAAAAAAAAATGTTTCAATTAAATAAGAAAATAAGAGAAACAAACTTAAAAGAGAAGTTCTAGAGCTGCTGTCAAAGCCAATGTGTCAGCAATGGATCTTCACTGTCAGATTGACATCATCACAGACAGAGAATTTATTTCAGGGAGAATGAGGTTCTGTGTTGATAAGTTCCTTTAAAAATGATTATTACATCCTATCCCAAACCCGCTGGATGACGGGAGGGTAGGGCTCGAACTTGGACCCATCATGATTAGAGTCCAAAGCGCATACCACAAAAGACAAGGCATAGCAATTTACCTTCACATAAAGATTTCATGATAGCACTCCAAACTTCACAATTAATTTCAACAGACACCCCAACACATCATTCAATGAAGCATTAAATGTCACCTCTGAACAAAAACAAACCCTAGAAAGCAAAGAGTGAAATGATAAAATTCTTTTCTTGAATTGTGATGTAAACCAAAGCATCTAAGTTTTTTTTTTTTTTTTCTTAGTCACTTACAAAGAGCTGTGTAGGTCTAGTTTAACAGTTTGGACAAAAAAAAATTGACCTTTGACTCAGAACCAGGTTGTGTACACAGGATTCATACATGTGTTTAGTGCAGACTTAATCAGTACACAAGATTCATCCATATGTATAGTGCAGACTTAAAACAGTACACAGGATTCATACATATGTACAAAATAGAATGAATTGACCCGTTGCTGATAAAAACAAAGGTATACATAATTCTGCATTGCTATAAATAGTGAGCCACTTGACACAGCTCAAATAATTGTCATCACAAGTCAACATTCAGAAAGCAATGTACAATAGAAACAAGACAAAAAACATTTCCAACATTTGTAGAACCATGCAAACAAAAAAGGAAAAAAGAATTTGAATAAAATCTTGGGAGAAACAAAGGAGTAAAAACAAATGTATACACACACACGATGCAACATGGAATCCCCAGACCACAATGGCTGTCTAGTTCTATCCACAACTTCGGAGCACAGAGATCCTCACCGATGAGATCAGAGACATCTGATCCTGATATGCTCATAAAACGACAAATTAAAAAAAGATTTTAGTGCCAGACTGAATTCAAGACAACTCAATTAGCATCTTCACAGTGCTGTCAATGAGATCTTCAATCCCTGTCCAGATCATTTCCTGGTGTGTCATCTCAAAGGACATTTCAAAGTTTCATTTGTCTATAGATGTAAAGAATGACAAAAGTGCCTCCATAATTATGAAAAACCCAGGGAAAATAACTCTCTAAAGGTGAAATAGCAAACAAGTTAGGAGACAAGTAATGGTCACACACACAAAAAGTTCAAATGATCAGCGACACAAAGCCTTTTTTCTCAAAGATGGCAGTCTGGAATGACATAACTCTGGGTTACATTGTGCTGATTAGTGAATTCAATGTGTAACATTTGTGTATTGTATCAAATGAACCTATTTTTTCTTTTTCTAGGATAGCCCATTAGCTTTTAGTTTCATAAAATAATTCTAATTTTATACTATCAGCTTATAATTCTAATTCTATACGCCAGGACAAGGAAGAAATAAGATATATTTGCACAAGAAAATGTGTTCAACGCAAACCTTGGGAATGCAATCAAAATTTGACACATTTTTCCCTTGTCACTGGACAAATAGAAATTGTCTGGTATTTACACCCTTAGCAGTCAGGCATTCAAAATCTTCATCACTTTAGAATGACAAAATGCAACACTCAAGATATAGTAATAAAGGGACTATATAGTACCTGCCAATGAACAGCAGTCTTGGTTTCCCTGGCATCATTTAAAAAGTGTTTATTTAGTGACTCAACATAGTCACACAATGCAAGTCTCAGATAGATTTTTTTCCCCCTAATCTAGAAAAGTTTCTGTGCTTAGAATAAGAACGTTTTGTTTTAAACATTGACAAAACATCAAAACCTTGGTTCTAAAATACTCAGGACTTCATGTATAGTATCACCGGACATGAGGGATGGTACTATAGATCACTCAAGTGCACTACCAAATAGCTGCCATAAGAAATGACTTAGCCTTGAAATGACTACAACTAAACAAATAAATATATAAGCTATCTCAACAGTAAATGCAAAGAAAAACAAAATCCTTAAACACACAGGCGCTTGGAATAAAGAAACAAAACGTTGGTAACTAAAAAGAGAATATGTAGATTCATTAGAGTTCTGCTACAAATAATTTGTTTCTATTTACTTTTGTTGATTGAGATTCAAATATGCAAAGCACTATTATATGAGAGCAATGTCTAGTAGGTGTAGAAATACATGTGTATAGAGCAAAAAAGCCCAAAAACAACATAAAATAAAAATTTAGTTAAGAGTTTTGAGCTGAGAATAGTATATTCAAATAAAAGGAAAAACATATTTTCATATGAACTTCTGACTGCTGCATGAGCAGACGACAGCAAGCTAAGAGAAGACAGTCTCTAAAAACTCTCACCACTAATGCAAAGTAACTCATTAAAACACTTTCGAACAGAAATTTGAATCTTTTACAGATGTTTATGTACAGAAAATAAATCATGTCTTTTAGGCATTGCTTATGTCAGTGCCAGGTCTACACATGGTCCTTAATAAGACCAATGCTGTTTCATCGAGAGAGAGAGAGACACTGATAGTTTAGACCAACAAATCCTGAGCTTGTTTCCAACTGAAAACACACGTTCACTCAAATGTTTCAAATTCTGAATAAAAGAAAAATAAATCTAGGTTTTCTTAAAACTTCATTATAATCCAAAACCTTAAACACAAAATTAAAAAATAAACGACTTCAATAAACATAAACAATAGATCTTTGGCACTTTAAAACCACAACTAATTGACTGAAGAAAAAAATTCCTACGACACCACTAAAAAACAATATTAACTTTAAAACTCCACCAAACAAATGATTTTAAAAAATGAATTAAAATTCAATTGACTGGAAACTTCACAGTTTCAATACAAAGAAATTAAATCACAAAAGAATAAATTACTTCAGTTTTTCAACCAGCTGTTTTTGTTGTTACAAGAGAGAGCACAAGTCAAAGGTACAAGTTTTTCAGTCTACGTCTTACAAGAAGTGGCTTAAACCCACAGATGAACCAAACCCAATGTCCAGATCGGGACTGTTACACTCCATCTGGACTTTAGGAACTGGTTGGCCACTAGTTGCACTGACGACTAACAACAATGGTATTTTAAAAAAAAGGCTAACATTTCCCCCAAGAGACAAATCTACAAATCTTGTTTGTTTCTTGTCAGGAGTAACTCTTTGAGTTGCCGTCCTTATGAGGGTCATGCTAACAATAAGCTTCTCTAGAAGAATTACACAGTAACCCATGGCAGTGTGTAGCCACAAGATGTGTCAATGAAATGTTGGTAATGAATGCTAAGTTGACAGAAGGTGTCAAAATTCAAATCTCCATTGTCACCCAAGAAACTTCAAGTGCACAGACACAGAAGCCAATTCATTCTAATTAATGGTGTAGTGCAGTTTAAGCTCAGAATCCTGCACTGCTTCTACAGGGTGTGCTGTCTGTAGTACTCTACAAATATTCATCTCTAGTCCAAAGATATCAAAATTGTGTTGATGTTTTTTTTAAATAACAGCAGATCAAAGATTTCTTCTATTATTTAATAAATAGTCAATATCACAATTGAAAAAAAAAAAAAAAAAAGTAGATTTTTTCAGCAGATGACTCCATTCTTTGATATTCTCTGGTGTCAATAGAGTGATGTTATGTTGGAATGACAGACAGGTCTTCTAGTTACAATCATTGAAATATCCAGCTAAAACTCTAATAATCCACTCTGAAATATCACTATTAGCCTAAACCTTTTGTCCATACATGTTTGAGAACTATCTTTGAACCAAGCACATGAGTGTCTAGCAGACTGTCAAACAACAGGAAGATGTAGAGATGCAGATGAAGTTATATCCTGGTTTCATTGCCTGTTGTTGTAAAACCTGGGTTTGTAACAATCCGTGACTTGCCTCCCTCAATGTCCAGGCTAGAATCTGATCGTGGGATCTTAGAAGCTGGACCCCACTTGGGTGTATCATGGAGCATCTTTTTCAATTTCTGGAGTGGGAAAAAACAAAAACAACAGAATGTCATGCACATAGTAAAAAAAATAAATAAAGTTCCCCTTTCAAACCTTGAGCTCTATAGGGCAGATGGGGTTAGGGTCATCTGCATATACTATCAGACAATCAGCTTACAAGTATGATCAATGTCTCTACATGAATTCCATTCCAATATATAAAGGACTAATTGTTAACTAATGTTTATTTTCTTCTGATTAAAATCTAAGCATATCAAGAACACACACAAGAAGTTAAATGAAGTGCAACTCAAGAATTATAAGTCAAAGAAATTAGAAGACACTCCAAATATATCTCCAACTTACTCAGATAGTTGTTGTGCCGTATAAAAGTTGATAATACAACACTTAATGATCAGGTCAACACTTAATGATCAGGTCAACACTTAATGATCAGGTGAGGAGGAGAACTAAATGCTGCAGGCCAATAAGCTTTCATTCTATCAGACCTCAAAACTTAACAATGACAGACAACACATTCCTATATGGTCTCCTTCAGTCATGATGCGACTACAGATCTTATCATGGATGATTAGTGCCTGGGCATTAGATGTGGTCAGAGCGATGTTGCCCGCACATCAGTCCCTGCCCCTCTCCAGGCAACTAATATAACCAAATGAACATCAAGTACCGATACAGTTTGAAGGTCAGCAGCGTCACTGGATCTGCCAGGGTATATAGCACTGAGTGCTGCAAACTGCCTAAGAGTCACCGCCTCCCGATTTTTCCTCAGAGTGGATAGCCTTTCCCATGATTTGGTGAGGTTAACATAGTTGCATTAACTATAAAACTTTGGGAAAGCATTATTTGGTTCATCTGTATCTGGACTTTTATCCCTTCAGTCATTTAAACAAGATTCAATCATAAAAAAAAAAAAGAAGCCCCCCCCCCCCCCCCCCATTTTCGATGGTATTTTTTGCTTTGTTTTTTTTTAAACTAATGTCAGGAGACTTAAAAAAAATAAATAAAGCAAAATAATTCAGAGAAATACATATATTACCATAACAAATGTCTTTTCCTTAGGTGAGCGGTAGAACCTCCATATTCCCATACAGATGATCACCAATACAGGGATGAAGGTCATGAACCAACCTAGCAATTCAGCCCAGACTGGGTACGGCTTCTTCTTGTAGGACATACGTTTGTAGTCCACCAGATTGAACAGCAACAAGAACTAAAGAAAGACAGTTTCTCACATGAACACTTGGACAGTTCAAACCAAGGCAATCAGAAATAAAACTCAAGATACAGGAACTTACAATAAGAGTGGCTGGTGTCAGAAACTTCCAGAAGAAGATGAAGAAATAGTGCCAGAATTTACTCCTCTGACCAATCATTGTCTCTATGTCTCTCAGGAAGCGGTCAGCACCTAATAAATGA